CGCAGGGGTTCCTTTCTGGAAGGCTCCAGAGCTTTGCATCTTCTACGATGGTGCAAGCCCAGCAGGGATTGACTGTTCCGCCTCCACGAACCCTGGCCATGAAGCCTTATGCTACTGCAAGACCTCGCTGATCCAGAGCGAAGAAGACGAGTCTCAAGACCCCGCCTTTTCGGTTGGCTTTCGACTTGTGCAAGTTAGGCCTGCGCCTTGGTTCTGAGAATCTGGAACCCCTTAAAGAAGATTGCCACCTCTAAGATCTTGCAATTGGAGCAAAATAGAGGTGCGGGGAGCTGCATATATGCCACTAAACATCACTAAACAATCAATTTGTTGTTTTGGTACACACTTGCTTGGTTAGGGCCAATGTCAACAGAGGAAAGCACGAAGATGGATGGCACAGTCTACTCCAAGATGGTGGGCTTCCCAATGAACCCAAGGGAGTGCCGGGGCGGCGATTGCTTCGACATTTATCGTTTTGGTGGGTGTCTGGGTGCGGATGGTCCAGCGACCGACCAGGTGTTCTGGGGATTTGTTTTCTTTGAAAACAATGGCAACCCCCCAACGGTTAGTTGGGAGGAGATGCCTCCTCTAGAAGTGCGCAAACCGTGGCTGCCTCCTGAAGAACATTACAAAGTTCCCGTGGCAGCGCACACCGCGGTACGATACGGCACAACAGATGTTGCCTGGCTTCTTGGTGGGTTGGACAATTGTGGAAGCAAGCCAGATGGAAGCCCGACCGTGTTCCACCGTTGGCTGTGGCAGTGGCGGCGGGACACTGGAAGTTTGCTTCCTCTTATACTAATACCAGAGGATTGCGGAATTGCCTATCATTCCGCAAACTACTGGAATGATGAGGGCAATCCTGGGATGCTGGTCTACGGTGGCATGCGCTCGTCTTCGTGTGGTGGAAGCATTTTTTTGAAGAATGCTTGGTGGTTTAGCTGGCGGCGTGTGGACTTTTTGTTGCGACTTGGGCGAAGAACACGAGTGTCACACAGCGGATAGGCAGCTAGCTACAGCTAGTGATAAATTGATAAGAACATTTACTACAGTTAGTGATAAATTGTTAGTGATAAAAAAAAGTGATAAATTGCTAGACCACATCTCGTTGAATTTTGGCATGAACAACTTTTTTGGGACGATCCGAGGAGGCCAGTACCATCAAGTGAACCAGGTGTGTTTGGGCACGCAACCACCACTTTGCCAAGCGTCGGGCTGTTTATCCATGGCGGGCGATTGGAGAATGGAGAATTCGACAAGAGGGTGCGTTTTGAATCTCTTTATCAGATCTCGAGATCTGGCAACTGGGACGCAAGTGGATCTGGAAAGAGATCAATGAAGTCCTCATGTTGCCCAATGGTTGGAAGCCAAAAAAGATGGACCGAGATCTGTTCTTGCCCAGTGATTCGATTCGTGCCTAGATCACAAATCACAAAGACGGGTCAAGAGTATTATTGCAGTGATCTTGGGGAAAGATCTGCTGCCATGTCCTTCCACCATGCTTCAACTTAAACCGTTTTGTGTTTGAATAGGGCTTGACCCTTCAAAGTAAAGTAGTCACGATCCCAGCAGCGCCGGAGAAAAGGCAACTATAGCGGCTTGTGATATGAGTTTGTTTCAGAAAAATGCTTCTTTGGCTCTGAAAGCAGTGGCCGTAAGGCACACGATTATTTACGCCGCAAGTGCTTTCACCAACGGGGCCAGAGCGGATGTATCACACTTTGAGCCTTGGCTTGTATAGTCACATGTGGACAGTCAGTCTTTAGTGCAGTCAAGACCATTTTGGGGCGTGCATTGTAAAAGAAGATGTTGCGCCGATCAATCATGCCAGAGCGCCCAGGGCACATGCTTTCGTGCATGAAGGCAAGCTACCGTGCACTGCTATCGCCCAGAGCACAGTGTCCCAACGCGCACGGCGTGGAAGTAGATTGCCGACCACGGCGCCATGCCTCTTGTAAGTTTCCAGCACGCACGGCGAGCTTAATGCCCATTTGTCATTGTGCAAGGGTCGGCCCTAGCGCGAATCGGCAAATGGGAGAAGAAGGATTCAGAAGATAAGATTCATTCAACCTGGATATTGGACCTGGGCATGAAGCCAGCTGGCAACTCTCAATGTTTTCAGGGAATGTCTCGTCACAATGTGTCATCGGGCGCGTTGCGTTGCCAGGGTCCACGGCATTACTGTTTGGACTGTGCAGTCGCAGTCCGTCACTGCAATAACAGGCCATGTGTTAGGTCCAAAGTAGCATCCCTTTTTGGAGATACAATGATACAGTACCTTGATTTGTGTCCATGAAGCTGGAAGAATGACAGTGATGCAAACTGCTAGGAAAATCATTGGTAATTGCGGCCATAAAGGTGCTGCAAACTGACACTTTGTTTGTCCGGGATGCTCTTCCCATACATAAATCAACAGTTTTAACAAACATGCTGAGTCATATTTGGTTAAGTAAAAGGAAAGGGTCTCCAAACGAAATGTTCAACAGGTATTGACATTGGCAATGTTGCAATGTTTGTGACAAAATCATACACAATCTGTGTTACGTGTGCACGCGCTCCCGCACATCAGAAACAAGTAGGACAAGATCTTAGGACTAGTACTAGACAAGCAAAAATGTTCAAAAACTAGAAGAGTCTCCTGTATCTGAATCATGTGTGTATATAAAAATGTGTATATGGTGGATTTTGGAGCAGCTGTCTCAGCCTTTGAAAACTACAAGGTTCATAAGTTCATAAGGTGTGTTAGTTTATGCTTGTGTTGAAAAAGCAGCAGCTGCGTTAAAGGATACGTGTTTTGCGTACTTGTCAATGCCGATGCTAGCTGCTAGCTGTGTATAGTGGGTTCTGCCAAAAGGCCATACTAAGGTCCAAAAATAAGAGATTGTAAGAGCTTGTCCGAGAGTGTTCCAACCAAAATGTGCATGAAGATATTTCAACTGCTGTATACACCCAAGACTCAGATAGTTGATAGAATCGGCTCAACATTTATCCGGACATATATATATATATATATAACTTGTGTTTGTCCTATAACCTGTAACAGTCAGCAAACAAGTATTACTATCTTTGAACAAGGCCTGCAACTGAACCATTATCATCCACTGGGCCCTGGCAATGGGATAGACCTAATAATACCCAATAGAACCTGAAACATCCTGAAACAGAAATCTGCCACAAATGTGCAGAAACAGGTGGCGCTGATGCTGGGAGCAACCGACGTCAGAGGTTCTTGCCGAGTACCAAGTTCCAAACAACAAGAGAACAGCACTATACAACGCATTCGGAACCTCCAAATCAGAACCTCAGAACTATTCCGAGGCCCACTTCATTCCCACATTCCTCACAGAATTGCGTCTAGAAATGAAATGAACGGGGGAGGACATGACAAGGAAATGACAAGTAAATAACAAGGACCCAAAAAACAATTAACAAACTACGAAACTGCTGCCAAAGTCCAGTGGAATTTGAGGCATGCAGCAGGGCCTACATGAAACGTTCAACAAGCACAATGAAGGAAGCTCTCTAGTCACAGGACAATCCAACATTGGAAAGATTGGAATTATCGATCCACATGCGTTGAAGTATAGAATGCCTAGAACAAATTAGCCTCAATTCTGGCCGGTGCTTTGGGGGGGATTTAGTTTTAAAACAACATGCTCAAGTGTCGCTTGCTAACCCGAAGAGGATGTGCTCGCTGCAGCACGCGCCCGGCATGGACACATGTGTTTTCTTTGTGTAAGCTTCTTGTTTGCTCAGGTTGCCCGAAGGCTTAACTATCAATTTTGGTCTCAAGGTCATGGGTGGGGCACGAGAGCTTGACCAGCCCAAGTATCGGAAGACCTACACTTGCTTCAAAGCGCAAGAAGAGTTGACAGAAGCGTGGGAGTGGTATTATGATATGTTCAATGCCTTCAAGAACTATCCCAAACAAGGCGGCATTTGGGGACACGCAGCAACCTGGCAGCAGCTAAACTGAACAGTTTTAAGACGTTCAAAATTTCAAGTTCATTTGCAAGCATTCTACAAACCAATCTGAAGCTGCAACGCTTGAATTGGATCACCTTGGTGGGCTGGTGGAAAACAGATACTGTAGTGACGAGGAATTTTTTTGTTGCCACTAATTGTGGGATGTGTCGGCGTTTCAGCAGCTGTCCACTGTCCCCCCCGTGCACTTTTGCACACCAGCTACCCCACCTACATGTGGCGGCAGTGGAAGATTGGACAGCTGGCGAGATATATATAGGCAGCCAGCTGCCATGGGGATCGTAGTTCACCGCAAGGATGAAGGGAGCAGAAAGCTGACGCTTCGGTGTGCACGAGGCAGCAATGCGTAGGAAACCAACATTAGCCACTGAGATTGGGCGACCCCGAACCACATTTTCATTGGAAGCAGTTGGGTTGTCCAGTCAACTCAAACACCGCAGAGTCAGACCGTTGTTGTCACAACTGCAGCTTGTGCATGTGGGAAACTTGCCAGGGGTTGTACTATGGCTCTGGGTGTTTTTCGTCTGGATCTTGCACCAACTATGACATCATGATACTTGGAGGTTGCATTGGAACCCCGTGTAGCCTCACCAACGACCTTTATGTGTACCGAAATACAGGTCATGCAGCTCGAGCGCTTTTGTCACTGCTTGGCGTGTCATTCTTTATGCAAGCAAAATAGCCTTGCTATTGACTTCTTGACCTTGCAAATTGTGAGGGCCGCATCGTGCACAAGACACGTGAGAATCGCGGAAAGAAAAGACATGTGCCGTGTTCCTTGCCATAACCATACCTCGATCTTTGAGTTATGACATGTTGCGCGCACCTTTTTTTTTCCCCCGGACATGGCCTGGCCATGTGCTTTGGCCAAACGCTCTACCTCCGCGGCCTTCGTGGAGCGTCTTGCTGGTGACCAGCATCGCAGAAGTGTTGTTCGTTTTTCGTTGATGCTCCATTCTAAGCGGTTCTTTTCTCAAAAACGTTGGTTTCTTCGGGTGCTTGTGGCCATGTTGCAGGAGATAGCCTTCGTTCCTCACCGCCTGGTGCGGAGGTGCGGAGGATGTGCGGGAAGACAGAACGGAATTTCGATGGTGGGAACTTGGAAGCTCAGACGTACCATATTGTATATCCCGAAATGAGAAATGAAACATGATTCAGAAGAGATTTTAACTCTGATTTCAGCAGTTTTTTGTTGTAACTGTAAATGTTTCAATCTTCCCGATGTTCGCGTTTCGGCCTTGGATTCGGCCCTTTTTTTCGATGGAGATCGTCGTTGAAGATTCATCCCGATGATTCGTTTTTGCTTCACAGTCGCTGACGAAAGCAACCCAGACCTGTGCAGTGTCACAGGTCTGGGATTTGTATTGACACATGGTTGTCGATCTAAAGGTCCTAGTCAGCAGTGTGTATGACGATGACCCGGAACATATCAAAATCTCATTTGGCGAAAGTTTTTTCTCGAGTTGGCGAAAGTAATTATTTTTTGGCGAAAGATCTGGCGAAAGATTAAATATGTACTTTTGTATGAATGTTCATTTGCTTTCTGAACAGCTGGTGGCAGTGACTCAGAAGCTAGATGAGCTGTGGAAGTTAGATAACATGCTGCTGCTGCGGCTGCTATTCCTACTACTACTACCACTACCAGTACCACTACCACTACCACTACCACTACGACTACTACTACTACGACGACGACGACGACTACGACGACTACGACTACGACGACGACTACGACTACGACTACGACTACGACTACCACCACCACCACGACCACTACCACTACCACTACCACTACTATACCACTACCACTACCACTACCACTACCACTACCACTACCACTACCA